TTTTTGATCCTGTAAATCCACTTACAATCAACAACATTCTTATTAGAATCCTGAGGAACCAGTTCCCATGTTTGATTCCGAATTAACGCATCAAATCCATCTTTCATTGCTAACCGCCACACTGGGTGCTTTAGAGCTTGCTTAAAGGTATAAGGGGTAACATGGTCAGGTAATTGGACAAGATAATTGGATGGGGCAGAAAATATTATGTCGTGATAAGGTCGTTGGGAGGGTTGGAGGAGGAGGCGGTGGCGGAGTAGGTGGGGGCGGAGGAGTTTGGGGCAAATTCGCTGGTTGTGCAGCAGAATGAGTGGAAGGTTGTGGCAAAGGTGGTGTTTTGAGTCGACAACGATAGGTGATGAGTCTGGGGGATGAATTATGTGAAGGGACAAAGGATTGACGTTGCTGCAAAGAAGAAGGGGAAGAAGAAAGAGGAGAAAGTGAATTGCCTGAGCCCATGGGACGCGCATGATTCTGGCCGGAATAGACGGACTCACAAGATAGACCACCAGTAGAAGTCTCACGTACTGGAAGAGGCAAAGGAAGTGAAGAAATATCAGGAGCAAGAGTTTGAGTTTCTGGAGGAGTGTCAACAACTTCACTGTGAGCGCAAAAGACTTATTTTGAAGATGTGAGAATAGTGTGTGAAAGGGGAAAATATTTTCAAAAAACTTTACATCACGTGAGATATAAAATTTAGAGTGAATGGGATTAAAACATTGGTGTGCATAATGAACCAGAGAGAAGCCTAGATAGACGCAAGGAGTGGACCTAGGCTCAAGTTTATTGATGGTGTAAGGCTTAAGCCATGGGTAACATAAACAACCAAAGGTTCTAAGTGAATCGTATCGGGTTGTGACACCAAACAGTTTTTCATAAGGCGATGTATTGTTTAACAATGGTGTGGGAAATTGATTAATAAGATAGACAGCATGTTGAAAAGCAAATGACCAAAAATGTGAAGTTAAGGATGCCTCATGTAAAATTGTTTGGGCAGTTTCGCCAATGACGACGCTCTGCGATGGCCACTCTTTATGGTGTGTGAGGAGGGGAGACAAGGTGTTCAATTCCATTAGAATGGAGATACGGATCAAGACCTTTATATTCACCTCCTCCATCAGTATAAAGAGAGACAATTTTCTTTTTAAAATATTTTTCCACTAAGGAATGAAACTTGGAAAAAATGTCTCGAACCTCATGCTTATTTTTAAGGGTGTACAACAAAATATATTTGGTGTACTGATCAATGAAAACACAATAATATCGTTTTTATCAATGGAAAGGACAGGCGATGGACCCCACAAGTCACTAAAAAGTATTTGTAACGGAGCAGTACTTATAAGAGATAAGCAATTGAATGGAAAACGTTGAACTTTAATTGAACAACAAGAATTACAAAAGGAAAACTTGTGCGATAATGAAACTGGGAGAGAATATTTATTCAAAACAAAGTTAAAGAGTCTGGAATGGGGATGACCAAGGCGACGGTGCCAGACTTGGCGAGGAACTGTTGTAGTGGCAACTTGAACAGTAGGCTTATTCACTGTGAAATTGGGCCATTCATAGAGTCTTGTTCCTATTCCGAATGGATACCAACGGAACCCGCATTTTCAAGTTCTTCAGAGAAAGAAAATGGAAAAAATTCAATGGAGGTCAGATTATCTTGACAAAATTTTGATACCAAAAGAATATTTTGGTGGATAGCAGGTGCACACAAAGTATCGGTTAGTCTAAAAGCATTATTTGATGCAACTAATGAAGTAGAACCATGATGAGTAATTGAGATTCGTTTACCATCACCCATAGCTATTCCTTCTGAGCCGGTATATTCATCCAGATTGGTAGGGTCTGTTGTGACATGATGCGTAGAACTGGAGTCTACAATCCATTGGTTTGCTGGAGCGTGGTTACTCGAAAGAAAATTTGCCTTTGCCTCTAAATGATTGTGAGACTGTGACCTGCAAACGTTTGCAGTATGACCCTGTCTGTTGCAAAGCTGACATCGAACATGGTTATTGGTGTAATGCCCTTGTGCAGGAGCATTTGGACGATTGTTGGGACGCCATTGTGAGTTGTTGCTGGGTCGACGAGCAGTGCGGTTATTGGAATTGGGGGATCTGTTGTGAGTGACCATTGCAGCAGTTATTGCAGGAGGTTCTTTCTTCAATTCCTCATGCTTGAGGAAGAGTTCATAGTCAATTAGTTTCACATACAACTCATCATACGAGATGATGGAATCTCTAGCTCGAATTGCAGCTGAAATCTCACGAAAATCTGACCCAAGACCACTCAGTATTTTCACAACCAACTCATCGTTGGTGACTGTAGCACCAGCAGTGGCGAGCTTATTGCAGATAGAGCGTACTTGATGTAGATAATTTGTGACTGGAAGGGAGCCCTTTGAGAGGCATGCGGGCTGATCACGAAGGCTAAATATTCATGTTTGGGAATTGTTGGCATAAACCAGGTGCAGGGAGTCCCAAGCAAGTTGAGAAGTGGAGGCAGCAGCCACGGTTGAAGCAATTATCGGGTCGACAGAAGCCATTATGGCATTCTGGATCAATTGATCCTGGCGGAACCAAGTGCTGTAAGCTAGGTTCGCCACTTCTCTACTATTTTCTGTGATAGTTGATGAAGGAGCAGGAGAAGAACCATCAAAATGGCCGGACAGATTGTGCCCACGCATAAGCATGGAAACACGTGCTTTCCAGGTGGAAAAGTTGTGGCTGCCAACAAGCTTTATCGGCAGCTGCAACACTGGATTAAACTGAACAACAAGGTTAGGGTTGCTGCCAGTGGAGTCTACATTCCTTATGTTATCAGGCATGGTAAGACTGAGTCTGTGGTGGTAGTCAGAGGATTGGAAAAAAAAACTCGGGAGAGTTAAGATGTGAGCTCTGAAACCATATAAGTAATAAGATGAAGCAAAAGATATCTCTGTTAATCAATTAATAACTGATATATATATATATATATATATATATATATATATATATATATATATATATATATATATATATATATATATATATATATATATATATATGAGATTAAGTTTTGTGCACTGTCAGTGTAGTAAATTTCTACACCATCAGGTAACTTACTTTAATAAAATATTATAATTATAAAAAAGAAAAGAAAATAATATCAACCATTTACTAAAAAGAGAAGAAGAAGAATATCAATAGTTGAGTCCTATTTGGATTCTAACCAAATATAATTCCGTAATTAAATTATTTTCTTTTCAAGATTAATACAATAATTAGGTTTATCGTAGGTTTTCCCTTAAGATCATCGCTCATGTAATTCTTCAAACATCATACTTTCTGAACCTAGTAAGAAATAATTTTTAGAACTTCAAACATTCTAAAACTTGACAAGCTTCTTCTACTCAACGGTATGTCGCGAGAACAAATTTCTTATATTTTCTTGTTTATAAGCATGAAAAAACTCCTTTTGAACAAATCTTCATTAGCAAAATAATTCAATGTACCAAAAATAGGTGAATATAGCGTCGAGAGAGGTGAATATTGCATTTAAAGTATTGTCATATCGTCTCTAATTCTTCTGTTCTACACCAAGTTATTGGGAAGAAATTTTATTAGTTTAACTTCCACTACTGAATATATTTTCCAAAGGAAGTGTTGAATAATAAATAGACATATTCATAATTTTAAGTTATCTAACATTCATAAATGTATTTTGCAGCATCAATGGAAAACTCAAATTTAGATGAGCAACATACAGAAGTTGAAGTTTCATTAGAAGAAAGTGATAGGGAAGAAACAAGACAGATTGTTTCCGAAATAGGAGTTGGAAATTCGAGAGACCCCTATATCGGTAAGGAGTTTCAGTCACTTGATGATTCATTTAAATTTTATCTCGAATATGCTCATCGTAGCGGTTTTAGTGTACGTCGAGGTCGTATGACTAAGTCAAGAAAAGATAAGTCAATAATTGGTCAAGAGTTTGTCTGTTCAAAGCAAGGATTTCGTTCAAAGAAAAATTTAGAAAGTAATAAACCACGAGATGAAACCAGAGAAGGATGCAAAGTGTTGTTATATATGTCAAAGAAAGAAGAAGGTAATTGGGTTGTTTGTAGGCTTGTTGCTAAGCACAATCATGAACTTGCATCTCCAAATAGTCAAAAATTCTTGCGATCAAAAAGAAAAAAATCTGATGCCCAAAAGAATCTTATTGATTTACTTGATAACTCTGGAGTTCGTCCAAGTAAAATAGCATCAGTGTTGATGAATCAAGCTGGGGGTATAGATCGACTGAATTTAACAAGTCAAGATATCCAGAATTATTTGCAAACTAGAAGACAAAAAAATCTTGAAAAAGGAGATGCACAATTAATGCTACAATATTTCCAAAGGCGTCAATCTGAAAATCCAGGTTTCTTTTATGCAATTCAAATGGATGTAGATGGTCATTTAGCTAATTGTTTTTGGGTTGATGCTAGATCTAGGATTGCTTATAAGAATTTTGGGAAAGTAGTTGTTTTTGATCCTACATATCTGACAAATAAATATAAGATGCCTTTTGTTCCATTTACTGGAGTTAACAATCATTATCAGTCTATTTTGTTTGGTTGTGCTCTACTTTGGGATGAAACTCAAGACACTTTTGAGTGGTTACTTCGTACTTGGCAAGAGGCAATGTTCGGAGTTGCGCCTCATACAATCATAACAGATCAAGATTCTGCCATAACAAATGCAGTTGCAACAGTATTTCCTAACACTAAACACCATTTTTGTATGTGGCACATAACAAAGAAGATTCCAGAATATTTAAGTCATGTTTATCATCAGTATGTTGATTTTAGTAGCAAGTTTAGTTGGTGTATTCATGGTACAACCACTCCTGAGGAATTTGAAACAATGTGGATAGAAATAATGGAGATGTATAATTTAGGAGAAAATAGTTGGTTGCAGAGAATATATGCAATTCGTGAAAAATGGATACCAGCATATGTGCGTACTACTTTTTGTGCAGGCATGTCAACAAGTCAAAGAAGTGAGAGTATGAACACATTTTTTAAAGATTATTTGAATTCTAGTACTCCAATGAGTATATTTGTGGTGCAATATGATAAGGCTATTGACGCTAGATATGATAAAGTAAGAGAGAAGGATTACAAGACAAAACATTCAAGGCCTATCTTGAAAACTTTGTATCCTATGGAGGATGAAGTGGCGAAGGAATATACAAGAAAGATATTTCAGATTTTTCAAGAAGAACTAATTCAATCTCAAAAATTTATCTCTGAAAAGATTGAGGTTAAGGACGGAAGAAACATCTATAAAGTGCATCAACTTCAACGACAAAAGCCGACATACATCGTTAGTTTGGATCTTGCATTGAAAAGAGCTGTTTGTTCATGCCACAAATTTGAGTTCATGGGAATTCTATGTAGACATGTACTAATGGTATTTATAAAGAAGCAGATTCACTCACTTCCGACATATTATTTATTAGATCGATGGAGTAGAAATGCAACCAAAGAAAGAGCTAATGATCCACCAAATGAAACAAAAAATTTGAAATCTTCTACCTTATGGTTTAATAACATTATGATACATTCTATTGGGCTATCTGAACGAGCTACAAAGTCTGAAAAACATTATCAATTTGCACATCAAAGATTATTGCGATTGTGTGAAGAACTTGATGAACTTCCTTATGAATCAGAGGAAGATTGTGTTGTATCAGGTGGTCCAGGTAGTGAAAAATATTGTGAAATAATATCATGTGAACAAAGTCAAGATACTACTCTGCTTGACCCTCCAGTAGCGGCAACTAAAGGGCGTCCAAGATCTTTGAGAATGAAAGGTGCTTTGGAAGTTACTCAAAAGACCAAAAAAGTTACTTCTCAGAAGCAAAAAAGGCAAACGAAAAGTATGAAATTTAAGAGAAAGGAAACAAGGTAATTTCACTTTACACAATAAATATTATTTCTATTGCGAGTTATTGTTGTTATAACTTCTAACATTTTATGTGCAGTTCAAATTATAATGTCGAAGTCGAGCAGAATGGTACAACAATATCTAACGAGGCTCATTCAATGGTAATTTTTTGTATACTAGCTTATGTCAGTTGGCTTACTTTTCATATACCTTCTTCTTCAACTAACAGAATTCTTTCAAATTTTATCATTTAATTTGTCAGCAGTTTCAACGATATCCAGAATATTATCAAGGATTTATTGAGAACACTGATTGTGCTTATGCCACATCATTTACGGTAAGAACTATTCATTTTTTATTCTATCGTTTATATATTATGTACATGCTAAAGTGTGTGTTGATGAATTATAACTCTTCCTTTCAGGAGTTGATGAAAGCAGCTTCAACTCCATTCCAGCAACACCATCCTAGTTAGTGAGTAAGAAGATGAAGGATTTGGAGCTTTGAGAATATAGGAAATAAGAGGAAGCAGTTATTTAGATTTTAGTTTATTAGTTTTCTTTGAAATTTTTTAACTTTTGAATAGTACTTTCATTGTTTATTTTGACATGTATATGGGATAAAATTATATGCTTGTATTGCAGTTTGTCCTCTATTTTTGGGTCAAATCAATTATATTTTTTGTTACGTGTGAAAATAGATGCACTTTATATCATTCGAAAATGAGCGTAAAATGTAAGATTCCTCTACAAATCAACAAATTTTACTCTAAAAATAGCTGATGTTATAACATGTGTTGTCGAAAACCTTAATAAAAACTAGCTATGCCATAATACAATTATATACAAATAGTTTTCTGGTGGTGTAGAAAACTTGTTCCTTTACGATATGCAAACTTATATGATGCTCCAGATGTGGTTGAACTTTTTACCTCATCCTCCTCCCCAACCAGCTGTTAATAGCATCATGAGTCTATGAGTTTCCTCTTCATTGCTTAGTTTCAAAGATGTAAAACTTGAGATATATATATGTCAAAGATCATAAATATAATTAAAATCACTTATTCGATAAATTTTTATTGATAAATAGTATCAGAATGATATACATGAATCTGAACTTATATTAGAATTTAGATTCTAACAAGTCCAACAAGTTTGTCATACATAGAATGAAACTTAAATTTCATACAATAGTACAAATTGTGAAATACATTTACTATAAAGCGTCTCTCTTTTCTTTTCGAAGCATTTTCCATTCCTTTTACCCCATATAGTATATATGTTGCTTGGGGTGGACAAGAGGAGTTGTATATGCATCGTTATCGATCATTGTGAAGATAGAAATATGTCTCAGCAGGAGCTAGAAGGAGCATCTTCGGATGACTTGGTTCAGAAACAATGGGAAAGAAGAGGTTACCTTGGCGTGCATACAGAAGCAGAACGACTATAGCTTTATTGATCTTCATATCCCTGCTAGTCGTGTCAAAGCAGACGACATGAATGATCTTAGCTCATTTGGCTGATTAGTATGGTTCATGAGAGCTCAACTCACTGTGGAACAGAACACAATTATTCCCAATATTGAGAACTAAAGGGGTTCACAAATGCAAGTATTTCTGCAAGGCTTTTCGAGGAGCTTGTTGGTGTTCTGACGCCACTCGGGGATGATGAAAAAATATGCTCCATGAGCATCGATAAATCATGTTCCATGAGCCACCAACCAACCAAAAAACAAAACTCAATAGACTCCTTACGTGAAAATTTACAGAAAGAGAATCAGTAACTCATTCATAACAATAAAATTAATTCAGAATATGATCAATCTGTCCAAAAATAATTTAGGTAAATTATGTCTCTTAAAGTTGAAAGCATTACAGAGAAATAGGATTAGTAACTTAATTCTATTTTCTCTTCCCATCTATTGTTAGATCAGGGTATTGATAAATTATGCCCACATAAATGGTATGAAGAGCACCATCATCTATAGGAAGATTGAATGAATTACTCATAAACAATGAAATTCTATTAGAGTAAATTGATTGTGCAAATAAGACACATTAATCACATAATAATTCTAAAATTAAATTATTAATAAAGAGAGAATAGTTTCACTAACATAGATCTACTGTACTCACATAGCAAAATAGGTTATTGAATTTGACACTTTGATTCTGCAAATTCACCTGCAAATGCTTTCTTTATACTAATCAATAAAATAACCATTAGTTAATTAGAGTGAAAAATGATAAAATAAAAACAAAATCATAACCCTCCATGAGTACGAATAAACAAACAAAATTGGAATATCAAGATATGCAGATCGGAAGAAAACATAAAGAGGAAGTAGGTCAAATGTGATATGCAGATTGAAAAAAAAAGCATAAAGAGGAAGTAGGTCAAATGCGTATAAGAAGGAGTAACTGCCGCTGAATATCAGCTATTTTAGAGGGATAAAGACAGGATTTTAATTTCTAGGAGAGAGAGAAAAAAAAGTTAATTTTAATTTTATATTTCTTAAAAAAGATTAGGGAGAAATTAAAATTACATGATGGTGTAGAAATTTACTACACTGACAGTGCACAAAACTTAAACTCTATATATATATACAAAATAAATAACAGAGTCTCTATTAGAGAGTCCTTCGTACTGTGGAAACTAAACCAACAAACTAGGAAAATAAGAAAACAAATTCCTAAAATGGTGGATACATATCTAACAACCTATGCAGTAAAACACTAAGCAGTAACGTGTGTGGAGTGCGGTAACGGTAATAGCGTTCTAATAGGGTGGCCGTGGGGGTGGGCATGTCTTGGAAAGTGGGATCATTTCCCTCAGGTGTATGTGGGGTTGCGGGTTAGGGAAGCCTTGCAGTTAAGGATATATTTTCTCTTTACGTAATCTCGAGTGTGATATAAGCAAAATTCAGTACTATGTTATAAGTTATTGAAAATGTGGAAATTAAATTCCTTTGTTTTCCTCCGGTCATTCCATTATCAGAGAAGTACTTCAGTCATATATCAATAATATCTGTGGACAAGATAGTGTGAGTGGAAATTGATTTTCTTGCTAGCAGCTCCAACAAGTTACCATTAAATCTATTAAATAACTCTAATCTATTACAAGTACAAATAACTCTAGATGTAATTAAAATCTTGTGACATATGAAAGTACTTTTAATACAGTATTGAGGAATAAGTTAGCATGTAACAATATTATCTCTATAGATGATACTATACACTAGGCTTTCAACATGTTTCTTTAAAGATCTTCTTGTGTAATACACGTGTTGTTTATATGTGCTAACCATTGTCTGCTTGTGTTTCTTTCATGTGCTTCCTGTACACTTAGTTTTTTCATTTGAAAAGAGGATTTCAAAATCTCAACCAATCATTCTAACACACAACAAATCATTTTCCGTTGAACCTCAGATGGAGAGCAACACTTCTAACGTTGACAACTCGACCTTCAGTGGAAATTCAACCCCTGCTAATGTGCCAATAGATGGAGGCATGACTGAAAGTATTGTTGGTAATATCCTGTCCCCAATCGAGGAACAACGACCAGCCTACCAGGACATTTATCATAGATACCTTGCTCTTTCTTCTACACAAGCCCTCATTCCAGTTAAGCTTCTTCACTTAACCAACCTTATTTTGTTTATCGATCTTTTCCATGTCTTATCAATTAAACTACGTTTGTAAGTTGATTTGAAACTTAATCGTATACTTATATGCAATTTAGGTATTTGTTGCTTAGAGAAAAAGACGCCAACTCAGAAAATTTTTATTGTTATTTTCCAATAATTCCTGGCTGAGTTATTCTCAATTGATAATATTTCAAAAATTGTCAGATGTTTTGATAGCATTCAACTCCCAACTGTAACCTGAAATCTAATAAGTGTTTGATGAGTCATTTCAGTTGGAGTAACATTTCCCCTATAAATGATACACCCTCTTTTTTTTTAAAATGACTTAGTTTGACTTAACATGTAGTTTAAGAAAATAAAGTAGATTTTTCAATCTTATGGTCCTAAATTAAGGTAACGTCAAATATACCAAAATGCCCTTTAATCTTGTGTCACATAGAAAGTTGAAAATAAAGTGTCGCCCTTTTTCATCTTCTTGAAGCCTTTGATGACTTTTTATCACCTTTTAAAAACTGGTTCCTAAAGTCTTGCGAACTTGTATGTTTTTCCATTTTAGATGTTTTTCTTTATTTTGTTGTTAAATGAGTCTGCTCCTAAATGAGTTCAACATTTCAGGTAAGAGATGAAGATTCTAGGCAGGTAATGCTTTGAAAACGCAATACTTTAGAGTTTTATACTTGAATTTTTCTTTTTATGGATATGATATCCTGTGATATGGTGTTTCATCTTTTAGGGCATTTCGGAATGCCTCACTCATACAAGTGCTGGATCGAGATTATTAGCTTTTTATTTAAGCATGAAGACCCATACATACCAATTTCCCAAGTCAACATGTCTTGACGGCAAGGAGCGTTGCTCCATATGCTTGGTAAGTGGCACCTAATTTCAGAACCCCAACCTGAGTCTGTAAGCTTATTTCAGTTTGGTTTTGACCTTCTTTTTTTGGTCATGTTTGGCTTAGGATGATTATTACGACAAGGAAAAACTCACAGAAATCAGTTGTGGTCATATATACCATTTTGATTGTATTAGAGAGTGGATCAAGCTCAAGAACATTTGTCCTATTTGCAAGAGGGATCCAGCTGCAACAATCAGTTAAATTCTTTGTTTGGTGGACTAACTAGTGGAGTGGCATCATTAATCTCAAAAGAGTTGAGTTAAACCTAAAAATAAGGAACCATTCTGAGTTTGAGAAAAACAATGGTCTTTTAGTTTGATGTGCTTTCTTTCTTTTCTGATGATTAAGTTTTATCTACACTTTGAAGCTGAGTAAAAAATGGTATTCATGTTGGTTTGAGTGGTTGATATTGAACAAATTTGGTTCATAATCTCGATGTTTATGGCAGGTTTTGAAAACCTCTTGATTCTTAGCTTTTAATGCCTCCCGAGTTTTTTCCTATATAGAAGGTAGGCATTCTATTCAACTAAACACCAACAACAAGAAGAGTAAGTATTTTCATTCCAAATCATCAATAACAAAAATCAATAGGCTGATTCAAATCTCGAAGTTGTTAGCATGAGTTAGGAAAAGTAGTTAATGGGTAGATTTGTTCCTAATTATTGTAGAACAATTAGATTATATTGTGGATTGTGTAGCATATCATTTAGGATTGTAGTATCATGTTCTTTGGAATTGTAAATATCTTCCCATAACTTTGTAAATATATATGATGTATAGTTGATGCATAAAAAACATATCTTTTTCGACCCATTTTGTGTTGGTATTAGAGAAAAATTATTTCTCTGATCATGATCTTTTCTTTATCCTAAGTCTATAATTCTACCATGGGTGAATGCTTTGGAAATATAAACACCATTCTAGAACCTATAACCATTCATTTTGGTGTAAAAATCAATGGAAAGAATTATTCTCTTTGGTCTCAAATTGTTGAGATGTTTGATGCAAGTCGTGGAAAAATGGGATACTTATCGGGAACAATTAAAGAGCCCCTTGCTATTGATACCACTTATGAAAAGTACAGTATAAATAATGCTATTGTTAAAAGTTAGCTCGTTAGTGCCATGGAACCCGACATTATTATTTTATTTGTACATCTTCCAACGGACAAGAGTATTTGGGACACCGTGTCTCAAACATATTATAAAGGGGCGGGTAGATTAGTTATTTACGATCTCTCTTGTCAATCAATATGTATGAAACAAGAGGGGAAAAAATTTCTACATACTCTGCAGATTTGCACAAAATATGGCAGGAATTGGATCATCGTAAGCCCATCTCTTTCACATAATCTGATGTTGTCCAGGCTCGACAAAAGGAAATCGAAGAAGAGAGTGTGTATATCTTCCGGCTTGTTTGGATAATATTTATGATTGTGTCCGAAGTGATATTCTTCGCGCAGACCCTTTTCCCAATCCTGAATCTGCTTTTGCTATGGTTTGAAGTGAAGAACAATGGAGGAACCCAATGTTCAATAATAATACCGATTCCAACATGGCTATGGCAGCAACCTTTTTTTTCCAGAATCGAAATTGCCATTCAAAAGCTTGTAGCAATGCTGAAAAGGGTTGTACTCATTGCGGAAATCCCAAACATGTAATTGATTTTTTTTAATATGCATGGACATCCAGATTGTTGGGATGGTTTGAATGAAAAAGAAGTCTAGGGAATGGAAAAATCAAAAGGATGGTGATAAAAATGATGGGAAAGTTGTTGCTATGGTTACAACTAGTACATCACTGCCAACTACTGGAACGCCATTGGTTTCAATTGAAATTGGTGATTCTAATTTAGCTATACCTAGATACTCATCAGGTAATATTGGATCAACTCTGGTTAAAATGGATTCTAATAAAGACACTAGATTGGTTATTGACTCCAGAGCTACTAATCATATGACCTTTGATTTGTCAGTGCTACAAGCTCCTAATAAACCACATTGTTCACATGTGTACAATGCAAATGGTTTATCATCCCAATTATTAGTGTTGTACCTACTGTTTTGACACTCTCCTTGTCTTTAAAGTATACATTATATGTTCCTTCACTATCCAATAATCTTTTATCTCTGTCTCAAGTAACTCAACAATTAAATTGTCTAGTACTAATGTATCCTCATTTCTGCATCTTTCAGGACCTCAACAATAAGGAGATTATTGGGCATGGTTCTAAAAGATGGGGGCTCTATTATGTTGATGATTTATGCCGTGGTATTGCTGTAACCAGTCATGGTTCATTTTCTACTAAATAACACTAAATATGGATGTGGAATGGAAGCTTTGGTCATGCTTCATTTGGCTACATTAACTAATATTTCCAACTTTATTCTTAGGGTGCGATTTCTATAATTTTCATTGTGATGTTTGTGTATTATCTAAAAGTTATTGTACTACTTATCAATTAAGTACTAGCAAGGTGAATGAGTTGTTTGCATTGATTTACTCTGATGTGTAGGGTCCCTCTCTAGTTTCTACTTCATCTAGCTATTGTTGGTTTGTAATCCTTGGTGATGATTTCAGTCGTATGACATAGATTCATGTTTCTGAATGCTTCCACTCATTTCCATAAGCCGATTCAAACTCAATTTTCAGCCAAAATAAAAGATCTTAGGTTAGATAATGGTGGAGAATATGTTAATCAGGTGTTATAGTTGTATCTTTAAAATCATGGCATCATTTAGGAAACTACATGCCCTTTTACACCTCAGCAAAATGGCGTAGCAAAGAGGAAACATTGTCATATATTGGTAATTGTGCCTGCATGTTTGATTGGTTCTCATATGCAACCTTTATCTTGGGAGGATGCTGTTTTTATACTTTTTATTTAATAAATTGTGTACCAAGTAGTTTTCTACATTTTAAGAATCCCTTAAATCAACTCTCCATTTATGTTAACCTCTCATCTACCTTAAAATTGGAACCTCGAGTCTTTTGTTGTGTTGTTTTTGTTCATCTCCCTAAAAAAAAAAAACTCCAAGCTTGATCCATGTGAATTGCGGTGTCTTTGTTGGGTATTTACATCATAAAAAGGGCTACAAATGTTATCACCCCCCTACCAAAATATTTTATGTTATTATGGATGTTACTTTTTTCAGTGACAGTGATGTATTTCTCTCTAGAGTTATCCAATTTTTCTCTTCGGGGGGAAATTAAGTGGAAGAGCAAAATTGGATGGTGTTAATACCTGATAATAGTGGTACAAATTAAGATAATACATGGCTTAGCTAAACAACTCCAGACCAAGGGATTCTCAATCACACACTACAACAAGAAAATGAAGAATCACGGTCTCCAGTACCTTTAGTACCCACCAATAATGCTCTTTCTGATGATGTTCTTGAGGTTTGTGTTATTTATGAGGAAACTAATACTAATAATTTAATTGATGACACTACACCAGTGGTTTCTAGTGATGATAACAGGATTAGATATCAGTTACCTTTGTGAACCAATCAAGGAAAAGCACCAGTAAGATACTTCACTAATAATCCAAAGGGAATCGAATATCCTATTGCACATTATGTGTAACACCCCGTATCTGAAACAGACCAAAAAATGCAGATTTTGAAAAGTTGCAGGTGCAACTTACGGTCACTATCCACGGACCGTAGGTTAGACCACGGCCCGTGGTTCACCACTGCAACCCCTCCCCAAACCAGCTCAGAAAAGTCGTCTAAATCCCGACTCACGGACAAGACCCACGATCTGTAGATCAGACCACGGTCCGTGGTCTGTGTCCGTAGATCGAGACCTCGTTACCCAGCCTCTGACACAAACTACGGTCGACCAGCACAGACCGTCATTCAATCCACGGTCCGTAGGTCTGACCATAGATGAGGGTCAGCAACCAGTTAGCTGAAAATTGTTGATGGGTCAACTTCAGATGGTCATAACTCTTAGCACAAAAGGAATTGTGTGTTCCATGACCTATTATATGATATAGAATTGAATCTTCTTTCCAACGCCACCAAGTTTGCTAAAATCCGACCTCCAAGTAAAAAGTTATGCTTGTTTTAGTGAAGCCGTGTCGAGCAGACTTGACCGACGACTCCAATCGACGGACCGTCGATTGACCTACGGCCCGTAGGTCCAGTCCATCAGTCGCTCCGACAACAATTAAGTTAGGGGTCTTTTGGTCTTTTCCTATTTTGTTGGACCCCTAAGATACGTCGTTTAGACCGTAAATCATGAGGTTTTAGTCAGTTTAAGCCTAGAAACATAACTAGAACTTACCTTGGTCAAAATCATTAATCAAAACTTAGAAAATTAGAAGCAAAAGAGGAGAAAAAGGTCAAGAACCCTAGTTCAAGAACGCAACAAGTTTCCTTCGGTTCCAGCCCCGAAATCGAAAGATTTCTCCGTGGAATTCGTCACCAGGTATGTGGGATTTCACTAGTGGGTTCCTTTCGCCCATTAGGTCCCTAGTTTACAGTCAGATTCTTGATTCCATGATTACGAATAGACCTAGGGTTTCTAGAATTTCAACCGATCATCATGAATTAGTTATTTAAATGTTCCAAATCAGATTATCATGTTATTTTTCAGTTTATTGCATGAATTTCAGAACCCTAGCTATGTATTTCTTTAGTTCTTGAATTACACATGCTAGGTCAGATATTTCAGTATTCAATTATACATGCCTCAGTTATTAATGCATCATTATCAGATTAATTGTTACATTCTCAGTTTGCATGTTCAGTTTTGAGCTATCCAGTATTTTACAGAAATTCAGTCATAACCAGTTAACCACTTAATTCATTGGGAGTAGCATAATACCGAGTTGGACTAGGGTTCAACGTACCCATATAGTCCTAGAACTATGAGCCACGTAGGTGTAAGTCCCCTCTGTAGGAAACATCAGTTTAGTGATCACGCCAGCATGCCTCTATACCTCTGGCAGGGTATATTGGGTCCTCTCGATGGGGCGTATACATCGGACTCCACATTTATCTCATATGGTTTTATGTCGGTTAGTAGCTCCCACAGTTCAGTCAGACTCTATTACATTGACCATATTTCAGTACAGTCAGTATTCAGTCTCAACATGTTATAAATTTGGTCATCGCATCAGTTAGCTCAGTATTCAGTATTTTCAGTATCTATATCATGTTCAGATTATTTCACTACTTTATTGCTTTGTTC